CGAGCGGGAGATGCGGAGCAGATATCCTCACCTATTTGAGGCTTCAGGTATGTTTCTTGACTCGCTCGAGGACGAGCGTTTGTTTAAGTCGGGGAGGATGTGACGACCCGACCCGTCGTCACGTGAGTTACCGCCCCGTTTTCCCCATTTTCTGCTTCTTTATGCTTCATTATAAGAGTCTTGTGTGAACGAGTTGATTTGGATTGGTTTTAGAAGGAAATGAGACGCTTAGTCTCTTTAAGGAAGGTTTGTTTTGGAAAAGTCAACCGGACGTTGACTTCTGTGTTAGAGGGCTCGAATATGAATTCTGATGATTCGGTTAGCTTCGGGGGATGATTTGTGACTTAGGAGTATGATCGGGAGTAATTTTGGAGGTCCGGTGTATAATTAGGCTTGAATTGGCGAAGTTAGTATTTTGGCGAATTCCGGTTGATAGGTGAGATTTTGATCCGAGGGTCGGAATGGAATTCCGAGGGTTGCAGTAGCTTCATTAGGTGATTTGGGATGTGTGTGCAAAATTTCAGGTCATTCGGAGGTGTTTTGGTTGGGATTTTGATCAAATGCGTGTTTCGGAAGTTTTAGAAGAACTTAGGCTTGAATCCGATGTAATTTGATGGTTTTGGTGTTGTTTGAGGTGTTTTGAAGATTGGAGCAAGTTTGAATGTTGTTATAGGATGCGTTGCTGCTTTTGGTTGAGGTCCCGGGGGCCTCGGGGTGATTTCGGATGGCTAACGGGAGGTTTGAACTTGGAAAAATGTTGCAGAAATTCTGCAGTCAGTGCAGCAGGTTATTGGCCTTCGCGAACGCGTGTGGGCCATCGCGTTCGAGTAGAAGGAATTTGAGGGCCAGGATTTTTGACCTTCGCGTTCGCGTTGGAGGACTCGCGATAGCGGAGGGTTAGGTGATCAAGCTTCGCGTTCGCGGGAGAAGGTCCGCGTTCGCGTAAAGGAATTGGGTCCCAGGGCAGTTGCCCTTCACGTTCGCGTGGAGATGTACGCGTTCGCGTAGGCTATTTATGGTCAGAAGAAATTTTTTTCATCGCGAACGCGAGTGGACCCTCGCGTTCGCATAGAGTTAAGTGTCAGCTGACAGAAGGGTTTTATTAAATATTTCATCCGCGAACCAAGTCTTATTTCCACCATTTTTGAGCAACCTTGAGAGCTTTTGGACGAGAATTGAAGAGGATTTCGACGGGGATTGATTGGAGGTAAGTCCTATGAGCTAAAAACACGTTTTTATTGTGAATTTAGACTGAAAAACCAAGGAAATAAGGAGTTAGAATGGAGGTTAGGGCTTGAAACTTAAGAGAGTTAAAATGGGGATTTGAGGGGTCATTTGGACTCCGATTTTGGTAATCTTTATATGTATAGACTCGTGGCGAGATAAGGAATCCGTTGATGTTAAATTTTCTGATTTTCGAGAAGTGGGCCCGGGGCTCGGGTTTTGCTAATTTCGAGATTTCAGCTATTTTTCGTTTGTTTTCGCTTGGGTATTGTTCCATTGGCATATTGTGACGTATTCGTTGTGGTTTTGATCAGATTCGGCGCACGAGGAGGTCGATTCGAGAGGCAAGGGCATAGCGAACTAGGATTTTGGCCGGCTTGAGGTGAGTAATAGATGTAAATGGTGTTCTGAGGGTTTGAAACCCCGTGTTTGCACATCTTAGTGCTATATTGAGGTGACTTGCACGCCGTGTAGCTAGCGTGGGGTAGAGCACCGTTGGGGATTATGACTTGGTCCGTCCCGGTAGATGAACATACTGCGTATTTGACTGAAATTCACTTATTATTATTTTAATTGAGCTGCTTGCTATATTTGGGCTTCGTGCCAATCGATTAAATCCTTCAGGGATTGTTATTACTGGTTTCTTACCATTTCTACATATCATTGAACTCAGTCCTACAATTTAATACTGTTTTGCAAACTCAGCCACTTTTCTCAAACTAGAAACTTAATTAATATTTTTAAATGAAGTTTGGGCTAAATATTTCTATATTAATGTGCCCGAGAGGCTTATGTGATTTTGGACTGAGTATGGGATCGGGCTGCGCGCCGCAGCGGTATGATATTGATATTGATATGAGGCTGAGGGCCTAGTTGATGCCACGATATGGCTTATTATTGCGCTTGGGCCGTAAGGGGCCCCTCCCGGAGTCTGCACACCCCCAGTGAGCGCCGTCGATGATAAATAAATGGAGCGGGCTGCACGCCGCAGCGGGTACTGGAGAGTACCGATTTATGTGTTGCATTGCATATTTTATTGTCATTTACTTATTTATCTGTTGTGGTATTTCCATAATTGTTTTCATTGTTTTACTGATTTTATACTACTTGGTAAGTTGCTGTATTTATAGAATTACTTTGTGCCTACTCAGGATTTCTTATTCTCAGTCTTTATTTATGTTTATTACTCACTGGGTCGGAGTACTCACATTACTCCCTGCACCTTGCGTGCAGATCCAGGTACATCTGAGGCTGTGTGAGGACTTCTCTGCCGAGTAGCATATCCGGAAGTATCAAGGTAGCTGCATTTGACGTCCGCAGTCCTGATCTTCCTCCTATCTTATTGCTTTATTTTCGTATTTTCTAACGAACGATATGTAGAAGGTTGATACTCATGTATTAGAGGCTCAGACTTGTGACACCGGATTCTTCGGGCTGTGTAGTTGTTTTATATTTGGGATTCCGCATGTTTTAACTCTACTTCAGAATTTCATTATTATGACTTAGTAATTTATCCATGTTGATTAATTCATAAACTGTATAAAAATGGTTAAGGTTATTAAATTGGTCGGGCTTGCCTAGCAATGTGTTGGGCGCCATCACGACCGGGGTTGGGGTCGTGACAACTCGTCACCATGCCTACACGTCGATCTCAACAATTATCACATAGCAAATAGGAGTCAACTCCTAATCCCTCAAGCTAAGGTTAGACCAAACACTTATCTCGATGCCTTGAACACAACTCAAGTCTTAATTATAGCTTTACCCCTTGATTCCGCCGCCAATTCGCTCGTATCTAATCACAAAATACTTAATTACATCAATAAGTGCTAAATGAATCAACACCAATGCATGAAAATGAGTTTTCCAAAGTTTTACCCAAAAAATCAAAAATCGCCCCCAGGCCCACGTGGTCAAAACCCGAGGTTCGAACCAAAACCCGATTATCCATTCCCCCACGAACTCAAATATATAATTTGTTTTGAAATCGGACCTCAAATTGAGGTCCAAATCCCCAATTTTTGAAAAACCTAGGTTCTACCCAAAACACCCAATTTCCCCCATGAAAATCTTTGATTTTAGGTTGAAATCATGTTAAAAGATGTTAATGATTGAAAGAAATGAGTAAAAACTAACTTACAATTGATTTGGAAGAAGACTTGTTCTTGAAAAATCGCCTAAGTGTGTTTGGGTTTGAGAAAATATGAAAAATGGGGTTCAAAATCGTTTAAGTGTAAAATTGCAGGTCTCATATGTGGGAATTGCGAAAATAGTTTGGGAATTGCGAAAAATGTTTGGGAAATGCGAACCTGGGAATTGCGAAAAAAGTTTGGGAAATGCGAACAAGCCTGGGAATTGCGAAAAATGTTTGGGAAATGCGAACCTGGGAATTGCGAAGAAAGTTTGGGAAATGCGAACAAGCCTGGTAATTGCGAAAAATGTTTGGGAAATGCGAAGTCTGCAGGCCTGCAATTCCTTAAGTCCAAAATTTCACCCCGTGGCCTATCCAAAACTCACCCGAGCCCTCGGGGCTCCAAACCAAATATACACACAACCTCAAAAATATCATACGGACTTATTCGTGCGATCAAATCGCCAAAATAACATCATTATCAACAAATTAACCCTCAAAATCAAAGCATTTTTCTCAAGCTTCATCAAGTATCAAATTTAGCAATTTAAGTCTGAATCACATCAAACGACGTCCGTTTTTCACCAAATTTTACAGAAATATCCTAGATCATATATAAGACCTGTACCGGGCTCCGGAACCAAAATACGGGCCCGATACCAACACGTTCTAATCAAATTTCATTTCAAATTTCCTCAAACAATTTCAGAAAAAAATTTCCTTTAAAAATTCATTTCTCGGGCTCGGGACCTCGGAATTCGATTCCGGGCATACGCCCAAGTCCCATATTTTCCTACGGACCCTCCAGAACCGTCAAATCACGAGTCCGGGTCCGTTTACCCAAAATGTTGACCAATGCTAAATTAACTCATTTTATAGCCAAATTTTACCATTTTTCACAGATTTTCATATTTAAGTTTTCCGGCTACGCGCCCGGACTGCGCACGCAAATTGAGGTGACTCTAAACGATGTTTTCAAGGCCTCGGAGATACAGATTTTAATTTAAAGCAAGTAATGACCTTTTGGGTCATCACATTAATGAGTACTCCATTAGTAAACCGAGCGAGAGAAAATAATATCCAAATTGTTAAGATTCCATTGAAACTAAAACTTAATTAAGGTCGAATAAGAACGAATATTACGTGTTGCTGATGTGACTAGCTAGTGGCGCCTACAGTAAGAATAAATAAGAAGAAATATAAAAGAGATGGAGAATTGGAGGAAGGTAAAATGACGAAGAAGAAGAAGAGGAACATAATAAAGGCGGGTAAATAGTTTGGGGGCCATAGGTAGGAGTAGTAAATAGTTTTAGCCTGGGCATTAAAGGGTAAATAGTTTGGAATTAATGGGTATAAAGTGAGATTTTCTCTATATTTTGCCTTCTTAGCTTTGCTCTTTTGCTGCTGATTGTTTCCAGATTTTGAAGAAGGATTTCATCCCCTTTGTCCTTGATTGTTGTACCTTAGGCCACTCTTTCCTTGTCCAGCAACCATAAATGAAGATGCATCTGAGTTGAGTTGAGGACTGACCATATTCACAAAAGCCTCTCTCTGGTTTTCATCTTGTAAGAGCGATGAATAGGCAAAATCCATGCCAGGGAGTGGACTCATCATGAGAATGTTTCCTCTAGCCTGAGCATATACATCATTGAGCCCCATGAGAAATTGCAGGATCCTTATCCTCTAGAAACTTAGCCATTTTAGCCTTTCCACCACATGCACAATCACAGGAGCAATTTTGATGAGAGCTTAGAGAGTCCATTTCATCCCACAGCTTTTTGAGTGTAGTGAAGTAGCTTGAAATGTTGTTATTTCCTTGAACTGATGTTGAAATTTCCTTTTGTAATTGGTATAGTTTGGCCCCATTTGATTGGCCAAATCTATGTTCTAGACTGTTCCATAAATTTCTTGTTGTTTTGGAATAGATGACACTTTCTCCTATATCTTTTGACAGAGAATTGAGCAACCATGAAGTCACCATATCATTAGCTCTGCTCCACAGAGGATGATCTGCTGAGTCAGGCTTAGGTTCTTCACAAATCCCATCGATGAAGCCAAGTTTGTTCTTGGCTGAAAGAGCAATGAGAATGGATCTCCTCCAACCTTGGTAACCTCTCCCATCAAAGGGCACATTGACAAGACTCATCCCAGGTGAATCTGAAGAGTGAAGGAAATAGGGATGATTGGAGTCAAGGTTTTTCATTTGACTGGTTGAACCAGTAGCAGTGATGGTTGGGGTAGCTTCTGCTCCAGTCATGGATGAAGATTAGAAGAAGAAGAAGATGATTGAATTTGGAAAGTTGAAGGATCGAGCTAGTATAACTCTGATACCATGTAAAATTGGAGAATAAAATTGTAAAAATTTTTCTGATCTTGTATTCACAGTAGCTTGTTTCTCTTTATACAAGTAATCTAGCTAAAAGAAAATGTAAAATGAAATTAATACTGTACACTTGTTCAATTCCTATTGTCTAATGCTATAACAGAAAAACTAAATTATTCCCTAACATGTGCTCTCACACCCTTATCTGTACAACTAGATTTGCCATATCAGTGGCTCTTATTAAATAGCTTCAAGGGCTGAGATCTGTACACGTGTAAACTCAAATGAGCAAAATAAAATGGATCAAAATAAAATGGATAGGAAAAGACATCTATCTAGAAGACTCCAAAGTCCTTTTGCTATGTCGGAACCCCGTCTTTTTCTTTATTTCTGTACAAGATGAAATCTTTTCATCTTCTTCGTTTCTGCTTCTTCTTCTTTCAAATTATTATGGGGTTTCATCTTAACAAATACCCAATCGTTTCATTGATCACTAAGTTATGTAGCACCGATCCCGGATATGAATCACATGATTAATTTCTTTTGCGTGTAAAGGGTGAAGATATTGTGCAGGTATGTTTTACAAAATATCCTTTTCCCATCAATTTTGATATAAACAAGGATGAAGTTAAGCATTTGATATTGCACTGCCTTTCCGTAACATTAAGCAATCAGTAATAATCCTAAAATCTTAGTAAATATTCTTTACGTGGATCTCACTTCTTCTACTTTTATACTTTGCCGAGTATGAGGAAATACAGGTTTTGGGTTAAAAAATTTAACAATAACAATATAAGTACTTTAAATAGGAGGAGAGAAAAGAATAACAAATGTAAACGACCTTTTGGGCAAAATGAGGAAAAGATTAATGTATTGCCCAAGAGTCTAACACTTTTTTATTCTTTTTCTTCTATATTTAAGATACTTGTCTTACATTGTTAATTGTTAAATTTTTAAATTTATGAGATATAATAGAATTTTTCTTGAGCTATTATCACTTATAGCCATCCTGGAAAAACTAATGATAATCAATAGCCACAAAATAAATCATACAATTAATAGCCCAAAACCAACTACAAGGGCTAGCAACTGAAACAAAAAAAAAAACGTTGGAAGGCCACAAGCGTTTCTCTCTTTCACTCCTTTGCACAATTGCACCGGTGTTTGATTGGCCGAAGACAACACTAACAGTTTTTTTGCACTTTCCCCATTTAGTTTTGGTTGGATTCTTTCTATATATCTTCTGGTCCCCAATCTTGTAGTATTACTTCAGTAACTTTTTCTTCCTCGCATGACCTCTTTCCAGCGAATTTATAAAGATGTTATTTGTCGGCTGATCACGTCCAACTATGATTCCTAAGAGGTCTATCAGTTGTTGCAAATATAATCCGGTTTATAAGTCCGGAGTCGAATCCCACAGGGAATTAACCTACTAATCACAACCACTAGTTTTGCAAGAATTCAAGTAATCAACCTTCAGAAAAAATTGAATAATGAGTTGATTGTTTACTAACTAAAATCAAGGTAATTAAAAACATGTAATTTTAATACTAACAAAGCAAATGTTGTAGACAAGATTGGAAAGGTCTAGGGTTACGATTTCCCCTCTCGTCGAAATCTTCCCTGCCACGTCTCATATAAATTCGCCTATATATTCTCTACCGGTCGTGAGCACTTTACGTGTCGTAATTCTCTCCCGAGCAAATACAATAATTTACTAGATGTATTCTTCCGAACTATGCTAGGTGGCACTAGAACACTCACTAAGATCGCACCAAGGTTTTGTTATTCCTAATCCCACCTTTAAACCTTTCGTATTGATTCCTCATGTACGTTAGGACTGATGTTGGTCAACAACTACCTAAATGTGTACCCTTCTCCAAGCAATACATACTAAATAAGCACAGTCAATTGGGGGACCTTCAATCAGCCACAATAATCATATAGTTGAACAAGTAGAGAAAAGTAAACGACAAATTCATATTCAACGTAGTGGACAAGTCATCCTTCAAGAGGTTCTATCAAACCCTAGATGAGAATTTAGCTACTCATAATTGTTTGCACAAATACAAGATTAGAATTCATAACAATGGAAAATTAGGAAGAAAGAAGAAAAAACGTGAAATTGAATCATTCTCCTTGCTCCAAGCGTGTTCTTGCCTCTCCAAAGTCTTCTCCCCCTTCAAAAAGTGGCTAACTCTCATATTTATATGTTTTAGGGTTGGGTTGGGCCGAAATTGCTTCTCCTAATTCGGATTGAAAAAGTTGAATTTTTTTACTCCGGTCCCGGTCTGGAGAAGTGGCCCTTGCTTCGCTGTCTGGGACTTTTCTCTTCAGCTCTTTTTTTCATCAATTTTTCTCCCATTTGATCCTTTTCCGCGCAAGTTTGTTCCTACACATAAGAAACATGTAATGAGCATATTTTCACTTCAAAAGCGATGTGAACTCCCGCAACTCACACACAAAATAACGCACAAACACACTCAAAACATACACTTTTCATCCTTTATTACCGACCAAAATAAATAGCCCAAAGAATTACATTATTTTCCATTTGCAAGAATTTTGGCCTTTAATGTCAATAAATAATACTCCCACTGAAAACATTGAAAATATGAATTAAGGAGAATTACATCAATCATCAATGTTGCCAATTGGAAAATTTTGTGAGGACCATACAATTGTTTCCATTATTTTCTTGACAAGCTATAATCTTTTTTGACTTACATGGTTTCATCAAATTAGAAAGAAAAGGAAACTTATACAACAACAACAACCCAGTGGAATCCCATAAGCGGGGTCTGGGGAAGGCAGTGTGTACGCAGACTTTACCCCTACTCCGAAGGAGAAGGGAGGCTGTTTCCGATAGACCCTCGGCTAAAGAAGATGAAAAGAGACAGTGGCGCAGTAATATCAGAGTAAGCAAAAAAGAAAGAGAGATAACATCAGCAATGTAATAACCAGAAAATAGAGAGAAAGCAATAACAATGGTACAGTACTACAGACACAACAGAGTAATATGGATACAACAAGAGCCACTAGCACCCTAAGACACTACACTATCGGACTGGTCTCCTACGACCTAACTTGCAGTCCTAAAGAAGTAATATGGACAGAATCGAAGCCACTAGCAGCGTAAGACAAACACACGCTAGCCTCCTACTTCCTAACCTACAACCTTAATGCTCGCCCTCCACAACTTCCTACTAAGGGCCATGTCCTCGGAAATCTGAAGTCGCACCAGGTCCTGCCTGATCACTTCTCCCCAATATTTCTTTGGCCGCCCTCTACCTTTTCTCACACCCGTCAAGGCCAGCTGTTCACACCTCCTAACCGGGGCATCCATGTTTCTCCTCCGCACGTGCCCTGACCATCTAAGCCTAGCTTCCCGCATCTTGTCTTCTATGGGAGCCACGCCCACCTTTCCCCGGATATCTTCATTCCTAATCATATCCAGCCAAAGAAAAGGAAACTTATGAAAAGAAGAATACAATTCTGGTTATAACTTTTAAATTCAGATATGCAATTAGTCATTTGGTTTTCCAATTATGTCTTGGTAAGTGATAGGGTACAAGGCAGTAAGGTGGTGGAAGGTATATACAAAATAGTCTGTCACTATACAAAATAATATACAAAATACACTATCACTGTACAATTTATATACAATAGACTGTCACTATATAAAATATATACAATAGACTGTAATTATATAAAATATATACAAAATAGACTGTCATTATATGAAAAAATATACTAAATAGACTGTCACTTAGTGTACAAAGGAAATCGACAAACCGCACAAAACCGATAATCCGAGTCAAACTGAGGAAAAAAACCCCAAGTATGGTTTGGTTTGGTGTTACAAAAAAAAAAACCCCGACCATAATTGGTTTGGTTTGGTTTGGTCTTAACTAAAAAAAGTCAAACCGAAACCAAACCAACCCGATATTACATGTATACAAATTTTAAAAATATGTCATACATAAAAATAATTATTGTAATGTAATTTATAAATATAATTTAAACTCTTTAATAGTTCTCTCTTTTAATGTATTATTTCAAGCTTGGACTTAGAACTTTTGAATGACCAAATATGTTTTATAGCCCATAAAAGTTAGTAACTCAAATAAAGTCCAAAGCAAAATCAAATCAATACTAATTCTGAAAAAAATGCAATTCAATACTAGAAATGACAATAGTATTGGGTATTTTTTTTTTTAGTTTCACATTGATTTAGATAGTGAAAATACATAACTCACTTTTAATATTACTTAGTCATGTAATTAATACTTAGTACTTATTAGTCGTACTTATTTTAACATGCGGTAGTACTTTTAGATTATGTTTATTTTTATTATGGCCTATTAATTAGCAATATTTATCGTATGCGATTTGTTGAGTATTTTAGTATAATTATGTCTCATCTCATATTATTTTATTGGGTAACATATTATATCGTTTTATCCTACTAGGACCTAAAAAATATTAGAGCACAAATTATAAATTTTATGCTATGAAGATTTTGTCGGAAAAAATTCGAAAAATCCGAGAAAACCGAAAAACCCAAGAAAAATCTTGATTGAAAAACCCGACTTTTGTTGGTTTGGTTTGGTTTGTAAATTTAAAACACCGAGATAATTGGTTTGGTTTGGTAACTAAAAATCCGAACCAACCCGGCCTATGTACACACCCTGACTGTCACTATACAAAATATATACAAAATAGACTGGCACTATACAAAAATATACTAAATAGACTGTCATTACGCAATTTATGTCACTATACAAAATATATACAAAATAGAGTGTCACTATACAAAAAATATACTAAATAGACTGTCACTATACAAAATATATATATACAAAATAGAATGTCACTATAAAAAAATATACAAAATAGACTGTCACTATACAAAAATATACAAAATAGACCGT